ATAAACAAAAAATCGTAGGTTATGTAAGATGTATGTATTTTTTTTAATTTTATTTATTTAATTTATATTCAAATACTTTGAGCGATTATTTACAATTGCAATTGCATTATTTACTTCCTAAGATACAATCAATATTACACAGCGTAAGATTTAATGTCATCAAAAATAATTGAACTAAAAATAAATTAAATAAATTGTATATGTATAAACACAGTTCAATTAAATTACCTAATATCATTAAAGACAAATAGCTATATAATGAATTTTCCTTTAGAACACCTTTAGTTTATTAACTTTTTTGGTTGCTAATTGGCTAAGTACGGTTGCAATGTATGATTACAAAAAATTAAAAAAAAAGTGGCTACACAAATTTAATACTTTTAATTATTCAATTTCAAAATTAGTAAATTTTTACTTTCTCAACTGCACTCAACATAAAAATATGTTTTACTTATTGCAACATTTCACTGGTTCTTACATTTCTAACTATGGATGATTGCCGCTGCTTCTATGTATTGCTGCCCTTTGGAATATTTACCTCGGCACCAAATCAATGTAACTATTTGGACGCATCATTTGATGCGGCGAACCATAGAATGACTGATAGCTGCTGATATTATAAGCGTTTGCCGCTGCTGAAGCCATCGCCGTGGGACTGCCAGCTGCAGCGGCTGATGCCTGACGCATATGACCGGTTACCTTCAGCTTATCATAGGGACTTCCATAGCTGCTGTGATAGTGCTGATGATGATAGATGGCACCAAAATTGCTATTCTCGCTAGCATATGGCTGACCAATTGTCGAGTAAATATTTGCGGCCATCATTTGTGAGTGAGAAGGAGGCACATGATGCGACTGTGACACTGCCGTCGGCATCATTTGACTTTGTGCAGCGGCGCTGAGATTCATATTCAAGTGTGAGTGATGTGTGTGGGCGTGCGTATGGGGCGGCATTAGGCTGGCCGCATTTGTACCACTACTATCGCCATTGTGTGCGGCCAGTGTAACATGGCTGTATGGGCTGGGAATATTACCGCTGGCAGCGGCATTCGCGGTAGATGTGCCTGGCATAACTGTTGCTGTTGCTGTTGCTGCATGTTCAACTTTCGGTGAGATACTGTGACTGTGGCTGTGGCTGTGGTGATGAGGATGAGGATGATGGCTATTGGTTGGAGGTATTAAACCGTTACTGGTCATATGACCAGTAATGCTGCTGCTGCTGACGCCACTGGCAAGGCACTGTTGGTAGTTAAGCAACTCGGGTGATGTATTGGTGGTGTTTGTGGCGGCTGGTGCGCTCAGTGATTCGGTTACTGGTTGAATCACATGTGCTGAGATCAATGCGTTCTGATGATTTTCCAATTCAGCTACTGCTGCGAAGAAGGGGG